GAGGATTGCTCAAGCACTGGGAGGCGGAGGGTGTGCAATGAGCCAAAGATTGCCACCCACTGCACTCCAACCTGGGTAACCAGAAGTAAGAGCCTATCTCAGAGAAAAACAGAAAAATAAAATAAATAAATAAATATATATATACTATATATACATACACACACACATACACATGTCCCAGCAATCACCACTTAATCTGTCACTTACAATCACCACTTAATCTGTCACTTAATCATTTTTCTCTCATGCTGAATTTCCTGTTTTCCTTCTAATTTCTTAGGAATGAGGCTATTATTTTTTCAGTCACCCAGCTATGGGCATAAAGAGCTAGAATGGCATAAGAAATGAAGGAAACTATGAGCATTCCTCTAAAAGCTTCTTTAATGTTTGTATAGCAGCTGGTCCCTTGGTTCCTCATTTCCACAAAAAAAAATCTTTTGCTTTCAAAACCACTGTAACCCAGAAAAAATAAGAATAAAAAAATTATAAAAAGAAAACCAGTGCACCATAAAGAACTGAAAGTAAGCTAACTAGAGATATATTGTCCAATATGACAGTCAATAGACACATGTAGCTTTTGAGCATTTGAAATGCTGCTAGCCAGAATAGAGATGTGCTATATGTATAAACATACACTGAGGCCAGGTGCAGTGGCTCATGCCTGTAATCTCAGCACTTTGGGAGGCCAAGGCAGGCAGATCACCTTAGGTCGGGAGTTCAAGACCAGCCTGACCAACATGGAGCAACCCCGTCTCTACTAAAAATACAAAAAATTAGCGGGGCCTGGTGGTGCACGCCTGTAATCCCAGCTACTCGGGAGGCTGAGGCAAGAGAATCACTTGAACCTGGCAGGCAGAGGTTTCGGTGAGCCAAGATCACGCCACTGAACTCCAGCCTGGCCAACAAGAGCAAAACTTCATCCAAAAAAAAAAAACCACACATTGAAATTGAAAAACATACCAAAAAAATAGAATGTAATACATCTCATTAATAATTTTTGTACTGGACTGGGCGTGGTGGCTCACCCCTCTAATCCCAGCACTTTGGGAGGCCGAGGCAGGCAGATCACTTGAGGTCAGGAGTTAAGACCAACCTGACCAACATGGTGAAACTCCATCTCTACGAAAAATACAAAAATTAGCCAGGCGCGTTAGCGGGCACCTGTAATCCTAGCTACTCAGGAGACTGAGGCAGGAGAATTGCTTGAATCTGGGAGGCGGAAGTTGCTATGAGCCAAGATCGTGCCACTGCACTCCAGCCTGGGCAACAAAGCTAGACTCCATCTCAGAAAAATAATAATAATAATAATAATTTTTATACTGATTTCATGTTGAAATGATAATCTTTGTATATATTGGGTTAAATAAAATATAAAATTAGAATTACTTTTTAAATGTAGCTACTGGAATATTTAGAATTACAGTATATGTGATTTGCATTTATGGCTTCCATTGTATTTCTTTTTGATAGGCTGATCTAGAGGCCAGAATAAGAAGGCTCAAGCAGAACATCTATCACTCTATGTTTCAGAATTTTCTACAAGGTCAGGAGTTCGAGACCAGTCTGGCCAATATGGTGAAATCCCATCTCTACTAAAAATACAAAAATTAGCTAGGCGTGGTGGTGGGTGCCTGTAGTCCCAGCTACTCAGGAGGCTGAGGCAGGAAAATCGTTTGAACCCTGGGAGGTGGAGGTTGCAGTGAGCCGAGATGGTGCCACTGCACTCCAGCCTGGGTGACAGAGAGAGACTCCGTTTCAAAAAAAAAAAGAAAAGAAAAAAGAAAAAAACGCTGTAGTCCCTCACCATAAGATAGACCAAGGTCCAAGAAATAAATTAGTTGACTTAACTAAGAATATACCTAAAGAAAGTTTTGTCTCTCATGAAATGAAAGCTGTAAGATAATTTTCATTTAATGGGCTTATACACACAAAAAATGAAATACTATAGATAAAATACTAAGTATGCATTTAACAAAAACTAGTTCCCTCTCTTTCTTATAAAACTCTAAAGCTTTTTAAAAGTAAAGTGCAAAAAGAGAACACATACCTTAAGTAAAACCTCTACTATGCTGGCATGGCCCTCAGAAGCTGCCATATGTAATGGTGTTCGGTCCACTTTGGTTCTGGCATCTCTGCTTACACCAGCTCGGAGCAGTACCTCTGTGGTGGAATAATGACCATACTGTGCTGCTAGATGAAGTGGAGAAGTTCCCAACTGTACCACAGGGAAAAAAAAAAAATCCACATTTACAGTATTGTTAGTACACTTCTGTTTATATAGTAAAGATTTTCTTTACATTATTTGTTTACGTAGTAACTCAAAACTCAAAAGACATGACTAGATTCATGCTTATCATATCCTCTTCATAGATGCCTTGAAGAATTCCCACTCTCAACGAAGAAAAAAATCCAGTATTTCCTTTAATTTAAATTTTCTTTCTTCATTATTTTTTATCAGATAAACTGCCTGAACAAAATTAATTTCGTTAGAAATTAAGAGACAGTGGCCAGACATGGTGGCTCACACCTGTAATCCCAGTACTTTGGGAGGCCAAGGCAGGTGGATCACTTGAGGTCAGGAGTTCAAGACCAGCCCGGCCAACATGGTGAAACCCCATCTCTGCTAAAACCACAGAAATTAGCCGGGCATGGTAGCATGTGCCTGTAATCCCAGCTACTCAGGAGGCTGAAGCAGGAGAACCACTTGAACCCGGGAGGCAGAGGTTGCAGTGAGCCAAGATTGCGCCACTGCACTCCAGCCTGGGCGACAGAGCGAGACTCCATCTCAAAAAAAAAAAGTTCACTATGTTATGAAGAGATTAAGTGGGATATATGTATAAAAGTCCTTAGTCCTCTCTCTCTATATATATATATATTTTTTGTTTATTTGTTTGTTTGATTGATTGTTGTTTGCTTAGAGACAGGGCTTCACTGTGTTGCCCAGGCTGGGGTGCAATGGCTATTCACAGGTACAATTATCACACACTACAGCTTTGAACTGCTGGGCTCAAGCAATCTGCCCACCTCAGCCTCCAGAGTAGCTGGGACTACAGGCACACACCAATGAACCCAGCTAAACCTTACATTTTCAAGGGAAGGTCATCCCAGCAGATCAAATAAATTCCTTAAACAATCCTTTCTTTCTCCATGCTTTGTCACTTTTTCTTTAACCTTTTCTATATTCTTAAATATCAGTATTTAATGAAAATATCTCAACAGCCAATTTAGCAACCAGGAGTTTTGCTCAGTTTGACATTAGGATCTACTTTTTTATTTTTGTCTTCTGAGACTTTCCCTTCTTGGTTATTGATGCAAAATATATATACATATATGCAGGTTTTTTGGTTTTGTTTTGTTTTCTGAGACAGGGTCTCACTCTGTCACTCAGGTTGGAATATAGTGGGGTGATCACAGCTCACTGTATCTTCAAACTCCTGAGCTCAAGCGATCCTCCTCCCTCAGCCTCCCAAAGTGCTGGGATTATGGATATGAGCCACCACACCTAGCCATGTAGTTTTTGTAGCTTTTGGGGTTTTTTTTTAATTCATTTTTTTAGAGACAGGTTCTTGCTCTGTCGCCCAGGCTAGAGTGCAGTGGAGCAATCGTAGCTCACTGTAACCTCTAACTCCTGGGCTCAAGCGATCTTCCATCTCAGCCTCCAGAATTATACTGCATGTATTTCTCTGTGACTTGCCTTCTTTTGCTCGATATTATATTCATGAGATTCACCATGTTAATAAATATAAGTATAGCTTACTAATTTTCTGTGTTCTATAATATGCCATTGAATGAGTAAGCCACAATTAATTTAACCAATATTGATGAATATTTGGGTTGTTTCCAGTTTTTGTGTTATTATGAATAATGTTGCTGCTAAATACAGAAGTCTTGTGTATGTTTCAGGCACATGAACACATTTCTCTTGGGAATAGTCTTAGAAGCCCAACTGCTACATCATACAGTATGTACATCTTCAAATTTACTATGTGCTGCCAAACTGTCTTCCAAAACGATTATACCAATTCCACACTTCCACCAAAAATATGTGAGAGTTCCCACCATCTCCTCACCAAGCCTTGGTACTGATCAACTGTTTTTGCTAATCTGGTGGATATATAATAGTTTTTCATGATTTTCCTCTGCATTTGCCTCAGTCTTAATGTAGTTGAGTATCTTTTCATGTTTATTAATCAAACTTTCTCCTTGATAAAGTACCATATAAAGTCAGTCTTCTATTGCCTTATCTTTTTATTGCTAACCCATGGGAATTCCTTATGTATTATGGATAATAATCCTTCTTAAGATCTTTTTGGCTTTGGGAGGCCAAGGCAGGTGGATCACGGGTTCAGGAGTTCAAGACCAGCTGGCCAACATATTGAAACCCCAACTCTACTAAAAATACAAAAAATTAGCCAGGCATGGTGGCAGGTGCCTGTAATTCCAGCTACTTGGGAGGCTGAGGCAGGAGAATCACTTCAACTCGGGAGGCGGAGGTTGCAGTGAGCTGAGATTGCACCATTTCACTCCAGCCCAGGCAACAGTACGAGACTCCATCTCAAAAAAAAAAAAAAGATCTTTTTGTCTTGAGGTACTACAGCATCACTATGATGTATCTAGATATGGATTAGTTTTTAAATTGATTCTGCTGGAGATTTCTTAGGCTACTCAAATCTGTGGGCTGCCATCTTTCATCAGTTCTGGAAGATTATCAGCAATTACCTCTTTGAATTAGTTCATTCCTATTTTTGCTCTTTTTGTGGATCTATGATCAGATATTAGACTTTCTCACATGATCCTTCATGATTCCTAACATCTCTTTTACATTTTCTATCTATTTTTATCTGTGATATAGTCTGGATCATCTTTTTTCATACCTTTCAGTTTACTAATTTTCTCTTTAGCAGTTTCTAATCTGTTACTAAAATTTTATCTCAAGTCCTTATAGGTCTGCTTCTGTTGACAGTTGTTTTAGCAGGTTACTGTTCAAACTGGCATGTGTCCATGTGTTTAGTTATTTCTGACTGTTCACTTTCCTTTGAATTTCATTTGTGGATATGAAGCCTGGGATGAAGCCAGGTTCCTCCAGAGAGGATACTCATCTGCTTCTGTCAGGAACCTGGGGTAATCCCTAGTCCAAAGATCACTTCAAACTCATTTTTCAGTTTACAGTTTTTTAGACTACACAAGTATTTATGAGTTCAGGCTGCAAGTGTGTACAAAGGATGCCTTGTGATTCCAAATTCTCACCATCAGATTTTTTTCCTCTCTCCATTTGATGTCTTGGTTCACATCAGCTTATTATCTTTGCAGCATCATGGCAACAGGGACAAGGGCAGGAGCAGATAGGAGGAGGGACAGGGTATTCCTGCTTAACCTTACACTGAAGGTGCAGCTCTTTGGAATTCCAGAATTATGAGAAGAGATCTCCTATCAGACTTCTCTCCATGAATAGTCTCAGGTCTTTATCTTTAGTACCCCAAGTCAGTGAGGTGGAAAACCCACCAGACAAGTGTGAGTTCACCTAATGTTCTCTAGGTAAAATTTCTCTGGGTTTTAGCCTTCACTTGGTTTTTCAGGTTGATTAGCTCTTTCTTTCTAACTCAGCAGTGTACTTAAGAAGATTTTCTTTAACATATTTAATCAAAAAGTCTTTATTCTTTAAAGATACAAGTTGAAACATTTATGGATAAAATGATATGGTCCCTGAAATTTGCTTTAAAATAACACAGAACAAAAAATAATACAGTAGACGGAGTTATAGAGGAAACAAGATTTATCATGATTTGATAATTTTTGAAGTTGGGTAAAGAGTATTACAGGGATTGATATATATTTGAAATTTTCTATAATAAAAAATTTTGTTTTGTTTTTCATGAAAAATGTAAAAATAACAAGAGAAAGGAAGGCGAAAACAACAAAACCAATAATCTGGAATTTTTAGTTGTTACCAACAGGAGGGCTAATTCAGATTCCTAGCATTCCATATCCCCAATACAATGCTTTTTTATTTGCCCCCAGAATTAAAGAGTTATGTTTTTTTGCCCTCCCCACAACTGCCTTCTTTCTATAGTTGTCAAGATCTCATTCCCATTCCTTTCTTCCTCTTTGATCATGTTCACAATAGTCTTACAAGTACTAATTGAAACATAAACTCGTTTTTCTTTTAGGAGTGACTGTAACACTAACGCCAATCTTTATCAGTATCTTTCTGAATTATAAATTCTACCTGTGCTATTTATAAGGCCTTTAAATTAAATCCCAAGCAGACACATGTTTATATTCATGCCACATTAATGCACTCCAAAGTTTGAAAGAAAAAATCTTTGTGGATGAAATATTTGGATAAGGTTATCCAGTATCAAAGAAAATAATATAAACCACTTCTTTTAGGACAGTTATAATTCAAAAATAATAAATGAATTTGCAAAAAAAAATAATCTTTTATCACTTGTAAACACAATCCTGACTACATTTTTCTCTGCAAAAACTCAAAAATGAGAAGGAAAAAAAACACACAACATTAAAATCATTCTTTACCCAGTCTGTAGTAAAAGGAGCTCCATTTGCCATCAAAATACGAACTTCATCATCTTGACCTGCTCGTGCCGCTTCTAAAAGCTTCTTTCCCAAATCTACCAGGGACATCTAAACAAAACATAGATGAACTGAACATCAAAATCTCCATTTATACATTATGACATGACATTTTCCCTCCCTGTCTTTATTAATAAGTCAATTCTCAATTATCCCTTCAAAAGAGTGTGCCATGGTTAATACAAAATTACAGATCATACAAAAGCAATTTATATTGGATTTTAGAATCCACTTTTCTTTCTCATTAAGTTTTTACTTAGAATAAAAGTAGTTTAAATTCTCCAAATACATCTGGTAAAAGAAGAGGTAAGTAGCAGAAAAAAGCTGGTCTAAATTTTTATTTATTTATTTATTTATTTATTTTTGAGACAGAGTCTCGGCCTGTCACCCAGGCTGGAGTGCGGTGGCACGGTGTTGGCTCACTGCAACCTCCGCCTCCTGGGTTCAAGCGATTCTCCTGCCTCAGCCTCCTAAGTAGCTTGGACTACAGGCATGCACCACCACACCCAGCTAATTTTTCTATTTTCAATAGAGACAGGGTTTCACCATGTTAGCCAGGCTGGTCTCAAACTCCTGACCTCAAATGATCTGCCGGCTTTGGTCTCCCAAAGTGGTGGGATTACAGGCATGAGCCACCAAGCCCAGCCAAGCTGGTCTAAAATCTAAAACTGGCAACTAATTGTTTTCACTGGAGGGTTTGCAGCAATAAAATTTTTCATAAAAGTAAATAAAGTGCAAGATATTATCATCTGTTGTTGGTGCAAATTAAACTAAACTTACCATAAATTATTTTGCAATAGTAAATGTGTTCAAAATTTTAAAATACAAATTTTCTGCCCTCCTACATGAATGTATATTTAAGTTCTTACAGAAAGTAAATAATTCACATTCTATGAAAATACTAAAAACAGAGTAATAGTATTATGAATAGACTATCTGTCTCATTAGAGGCTAGAGGCCAGGTATGATGACATACCCCTGTAATCCCAGCAGTTTGTGAGGCTGAGGCAGGTGGATCACTTGAGGCCAGGAGTTCGAGACCAGCCTGGACAACATGATAAAACCCTATCTCTACTAAAAATAAAAAATTGGCTGGGTGTGGGGGCTCACACCTATAATCCCAGCTCCTCAGGAGGCTGAGGCACAAGAATCACTTGAACCCAGGAGGCAGAGGTTGCAGTGAGCCGAGATCGCACCACTGCACTCTAGCCTGGGCGACAAAGTAAACTCTGTCTCAAAAAACAAAAAAAACAAAAAAAACAAAAAAAAAAACAGGAAAGAGTATCTTGTGTCTTGAATTTAATATATCTGAAAAGGCTAATGTCCCAGGCTGGGATGTGAGGTGTGCATGGGTGTGTATGTATTTGTGTCTTCTTGAATAAGAAATATTGAAATACATGTCAGAAAAGAAGATTATGATAGTAGAATATAGGTAAATTAAGATTTGAATGTATCACAAACATTCAAATTCAAGGGATGACAGTTCTCAGAAGAGAGTTTCCAAACCCAGAAAGACTATCCAGCTGGAAGATTACTCAATTACGTTACACAGTATCGTAAATAAGGAAAAGCAGAATTTTAGGCCTGTAGGGAAGGGAAATATGGAACCCCTGAGATTTACAATGAAAAAATGTGCCTGGGGTATAAATTTATCTCAAAAAAAGTATATACTCTGAGGGTTAGGTAAGTAGTCAAGAGGAAATAAGTTATAAAGAGTAATGGCAGGTTGATCAGTGTATCTCTACCTGGTATGAACAATTATTACAGGTTGAGTATCCCTAATCCAAAAATCTGAAATCTGAAACTTTTTAAGCATCAAAGGAATGCTCATTGGAGCATTTCATATTTTGCATTTTTGCATTAGGGATGCTGAACCAGTAAGTATTAATGGAAATATTCCAAAATCTGAAAAAACCCAAAATCTGAAATACTTCTGGACTAAGTATTTCAGATAAGGGATACTCAACCTGCACTCAATAAGGAAGAGAAAGGAGTGTATGTGTGAGAAGGAAGTTGGCAAATGGGGCTTAAAAAAGTTATTTCTGCCAGGAAGAACTGAAATGTTCTACATCATTAAAAGGGCTGTCAAGAAATCTAAAAGGGGTAATTATAAGAAAAGCTGTCCATGAAAATAAACAGAATTATGCCTATAATTTTTAGTGAATTAGGTAAGATGGGAATAATCAAGCACAAAAGAGGTAACCAGGGACAGATACTAACACTTGGAGGCTTGCACAATAATTAGGTGAGATATACATATCCCAAACAGGCCTTCATCACAAGGCAGGAAAGAATTTCTTAGAATTGTTTCATTTGTAAGGATAAAAATAATCTATATTATGGTCAGGCACAGCAGCTCACATCTGTAATCCCACCACTCTGGGAGGCCGAGGTGGGCGAATCACTTGAGGTCAGGAGTTCGAGACCAGCCTGGCCAACAGGGTGAAACCCTGTCTCTATGAAAAATTCAATCCAGTCTGGGCATAAGAGTGAGAGTCCATCTCCAAAAAAAAAAAAAAATTCTATATTATATTCTGGAGTACAGAATAGGAAAAACAACCACATGTACTTGTGGGATTTATATGGGATTTTTTTTAATACACTTCTCTGTGATACTTGCAACATTTTCATCCTTGCATTTCTGATTTCCTTTCCTTTTTTTCTCCTATTCTCTCATAACCTTGATGGAGTCACTGAAAGCCAAGATATTCCTCAATCCTGCTTAAAGTCACTAAGATCTATAGAGATTACTGATCTCCAATGAGGCATTTTTTCCTAGATAATATGTAACTGCTGGACAGTAAAAATTAACATCATATTCAACAGGCAAGAAACCTGCAAAAATAATTTCCTATTAAACGGCAAGATAAAGCAAAAAGAAACTGACCTCTCTCCTACAGAAGTACGGTAAAATCTGAACTGGTCACACTAACAAATATAGCACCTATACTCTGAATGATATAAATTTGGCTTTACGATGAAATATATCTTTCCAAAAATAAACATTTTTAAATAGGTTTTACGCAGGTAATATAAAATCAGTTTGCATTCATTCAGCATACATACTGCCAAATGGTTTAGATATCTGAGTATCTTTTGTGAAGTGCCAGTTTAGGGCTTTTCCCCATTTTTTGAAACTGGGTTGTCTGTCTTTTTCTTATTGATTTGTAAGCATTCTCACATATGTTCTGGATATGAGTCCTTTGTCAAATATAACAAGTACTGTAAGTATCTCTGTCCAGAACCCTGATTTTTGACTCTCTATCTTATGTTCTTTCTGTGATAACACATAGTATTTTCTATACTATTAAAATAAAATAATCAAAATAAAATAAGAAATGGCAAAGAAATATATTTACCACAAAAATGACTAGAAGAAACAGTCATGTTTTACTTATTTAAAAGACTTGACTCAAAATGAAAAGGGGCGGGAAATAAACAGCAAGGACCCAACACATCAATAGTTAAAAGACAGGCCATACATTTTACAGAAAAGAAAATAGAAATAATTCACAAAGGCAAAAAATGCTCAGTGTCACTGCTAATCAGGTTAACATAAAGTAAATAATTTTAAAGTAATTACTGATGCAGCCAAGAATTAGGTGAAACTGATACTTTGATATATTGACAACTCAGATATGCTGATAGTAATATAAGTGGATCAGCTTTATTTTTTAGTCAACTTGGCAAATTTAACAAGTTACAAAAATATCTGAGTCCACTGACCCAGTAAGTGACCCCACTTCTAAGAATCTATTCTAAAGGAAAGATATATTGAAACAGATCTATCAGTAAAGATTATATATGCATACACATATATATTATATATAATAATTCTTATAATGTGACCAATCTAAAGGTAGGAAAATGATTGAATTGTAGAATGGAAAGGAACAAAATGCAGTAATTTAACCTAATAGTTTTGAAGCTATATAAACAACAAAAAATCTATGCCACATTATGAAAAGATATAAAACTTTTTTGTCAAAATACGCATATAAAGTATAAAACACTGAAAAATATTAACAATTGTTTAGGATGGAATGATTATGGGAAATTTTGTCTTCCTTTTACAAAGTTTCTATAACATTACTATATTACCTAATTTTAAAAATGTTTTTTTCAAAGGGACAAATTACATTGTATGACTGTCAACTAAGCAAATGATAACATTAAGGAAAGTTTTATGTTCCTGACTTACTAGATGGGATGAGCAGGAAAAAAATAAAGAAAATGTAGAATGCTGGGAACTTAAAATATCAATCATATATCTGCTTACATGAATTATAATAAAATCATGAAGCATTTGAACAAATCAACTTTGTCCATAATTATTCAATTGTCCTAATTATTCAAAACATATCACAGTTTAGGACCAAATACACTTAAGTTACTCTGGTTTTAAATTTCCATGAGCAATACAGCCATATGGTAGATTAATGAGATGGATTCTTGGAAATCAGTGGTTCTCACTGGCAGCAGCATTGCCCCCTTGAGAGCCCTTTGTATGTTTATGGCGGCATTTTGGGGACTAAAGGTGCCGATGCTCTGCTAGCATTTAATGGGCAAGCGCCATGGATACGAGAGGTCCAGCAAAGGAGGGAATAGTCCTGTAGAACAAAGAATTGTCACATGTTCTGGATAATTTTCAAAGATTCCATTGAAAACATATCTAAGGCTGGAATCTAACATGTAAACAAAATGTATTTTTTCCACAGTGTTAATGTATTCCAAATATTCTAGAATGCAGCCGTACTATAAATTTATTTGTTTTGTTCAGAAATTTACTAACAGTTGTTTGTCATTTTGGAAAATCATGTCAATGCCACTTTGGCATGTGCATCACCAATATCATATATCAATCAGCTTGTTCAGCTATCACATTCACAGTGATTTTATGTGCCAGCATAAGCATTTTACTAACTCACTGTGACATCTAATGCAGTGTGCTCAAGTATTTACATATTTTAATACACATTTTATTATAAATTGCTTCTTTTCAAATTATCCTTTATATTATAATCAAAACATGATTTTTTTGAAATCATGCA